AAAAAAAAAAAAAAAAAAAGCAATAATGGGGGCCTCACATTTGCCATTAGTATAACTAAACTCACTTGTTTCTCACGTACTTTAGTATGCTTGAGAATGACCTGGCATTACTTTGTCCAGAAATAAACTACTACTGCCTTCCCTAAGAAGGAGTACAGTTACTTGAGGTGTTTCTCAAATAGCTTTCACTTAGTCTCATTTTCATATTTCCAATTCCATGGCCCCTGATCTAGTGCCATTGCAGAATCTGCAGTGTAACTGGGCTCTCCTGGTTGCTGAGTCACATTCATTCATCTGTTTCCCAGCTTTTAAAGTTTTAACTGCTGTCATCACCTTTACGATTTCTCAATTTTATTCCACTAACTCTTCCTAAAGGGATATTAAAAAAATGAGATAGTTATGTTTAACTCACTGTAATAGTAACTACAGTATTTCATTCAAAGTTTCATGGCAGAGTCACTGCCAGTGTGGTCTATTTTTATACAATGATTGCTAAAAACTGTGGTTTTTAAGTAATGCAAAGTTAAATGTACATAGAATACTATTGCCTAATGCCTGTCAAAGAGCACAGCTTTGTGTAATTCAAAATATGTGATTTTTTTTTAAGCTTTTAGGGGGATCTGGCTGGAGTTTACTTTTAAGTTGTTGGGGGTTTTGTTTGTGACAGGTTCTCACTCTGTAACCCAGGCTGGCCTGAACTCTCAATCTTCCTGCCTCGTCCTGCTGAGTGCAGAGATTACCAGCATTGGCCACACTTGGCTAGTTGTTGGCTTTAATACAAATTACGACTAATGAAAGATTTACCTAGCAAAAATAAAGCTAGTGTGGCCACAGTAAACTTACCTAGTTCTCTGAGGTTGATTTACATGAATTAAAGCAATTTATTATGCTAAAGTTAACTGATAGACATTTAGGTTTATTTTAGCCATTGGGAAACATAGGTCTACTTGGATTTCCAATTAAGGAAACAATTTAAGTCAGAAGGGACCCAGGCTGCTGCTTAACCTGTGTGAAGTCATGGAAGGTATAGAAGCTACGTTAGTGTCCAAGGTCTCCCTTTATTCTGAGACGTTGGAAATGTGTGGTAAGTGAAAAGGAGATGCAGCCTCCATTAATTTTTTTCCAGGGACTCAAGCTGAGGGGGGTAAGACTTAACCAGCTCCCGTCATGGGTTAACAGAGAATTGTCATTTTACTAGAAGCTACAGTGCCCAAAGCTCGATTCATTTTAGCATGAAGTTCAGATGACAGTAAAACCTAAAGGAAAACTGGCCAAGAGGGGCAGTACCTTCTTTGTCACTGGGTTCTGAGCAACTTGGTTCAAACAGACTTGCCAGCACCAGAGGGTAAATAATCAGAAAGGTAAGTGGCAAGAAAGTTTCCTGTTAGAGGCTGACATACAACTCAGTCTAGGCCTAGAAGGCAGATTATTCAAATGAGGGGAGAAAAGATGCCTATGCAGGTACTACACACATGAAAAGGTAAACTGATAGTAGGAAACAGGCCTTCTTAGGGTGTGTGAAGTCCATTACAGGGAGTTCTAGAGGACCACAAAGCTTACTGGTATAAACCCTTATAGCATAGGACTGGTGGAACATAATTCAGCATTTGAGAATTTAACACATCCATGTAAGTCCTCCCCTGCAAGGGGCAGTGACAGTATGAAAGAGCTCACGTGAGTCCGTTCCCCTGGGGATCCACCATTTTAACGTTAATTTGGGAAATTTAAGGTAATTAGACTTCCTAATAGCCAGCAATCCTGTAATCCTTCATTCAGTAAGGGTTGACTGAGTTTTGTATCATGAAACAGTTGTTTCACTGACAAATTAATTCAAGACAAAAGCTTACTTCCATATAAAATAACTATGGAAGCTGAATTAGAATTCTATAGGAAGCTAACAGTAAGATGTTTTTAATCTCACTACCAAGATATGGAGGGAGGTGAGCTATCAACTATTACACCGCCAAGATTTGTTGAATGGGACTAATAACACTTTTCCCATAAAGACCGGCTCAGTCAGTGCTACTGATTTATGAATAAATCTTGCAAATGCCGTTGGAACGGATGGAGCATTATAGAGTGAGAATTCAGTAATTTTTAGGTACTTCATGCTAAAACAGGGTTTAGACAGGTCTCAAAGTCCTAAGGGAATTCAGCTGGGCTTTGGAAAGAGAACGGCGTTACTTAATTTGTTCTAGCGTTCCTGTTGGTCTTAGGTGCCACTGTTTCTTCATGTGGGGAGGGACTGAACTTCTGAAGGTTGTGCAATAAGTCTGTGACCTTGGACAGATAGTTTAATGAGTTTGCCGGGCCTTACCAGTCTTCATCTGTAAGGAATGCTTTGGCCAGGAATGGCTTCAAAACACTTCCAATTACTGTTGGGGGCTGCCCTGAGGGAAGAGATCGTGGGTGTTGCACGGTAAGTGCGTACAAAGAATCGCGAGCAGAGAGAAGAATCTGGGCCACTCTGTGTTCAGAGTAACCAACTGGTGGAGCCGATCTGTCTCTAGATCCCCAAACGAGCCCCGTCTTGGGGGCCTAAGCTGTGGTGGCCGTCGCCTGACCTAAGCGCGTCCCTGCTCCCCGTCCTTCCCCAACACCCCGGAGACTCGCCCTGACACACAGCTGGGAAGACAGGGAGACTGTCAACGTCAGAAGCCGATCAGAAACCCCTTCCAACACCCAGCAGTCTTCTCCCAGAGCATACTTCACCGCCTCCAGACCTCAGGATCCGGAAAACAACACTCAAGCCTTTGCCCGCAAGCCGCAGCCAGGCAAGCCCGGGATCGCTTCGACCTCTCCGCCGCCAACCCCGGAGCTGGGCGGGACAGGATACCGACCGGAAGAGCCCCAGTGCGACTGCGCGGGCCGTGTGGGCGGGCCCGCGCGCGGACTTTAAGGGTGGTGGGCGTGGCCTGTCGTCCTGACGACCCAGGAGCGTTTGTCCACACTAAGAAGCTGCAACTTTGCCGAGGGTGAAGGTCGCGCTTGGCCTCCTCATGGTGAGCGGGGAAGATGAGAGAGACTGGTGAAGGGGCGTGAATTAATTCTGCTTCCCCAGCGTTGAAGGGTGTAATAACAGTCCTTCACATTGTAGAGGGGATCTATTTAGGAAAAAGTTCGTAGCCCCGATGGAGGGTTTGGCCATCTCCTGACCAGTGGCCTTCCGGTCCTGCGTCCGGAGTCCCAACTCAGTTTCTGCAAACTAGAGATGGCCAGAATGCTAACATGGTCTCCTAAACCCGCCAACTGTGAACATGGTCTCAAGCTAGTAACGGATAATTCCACTAAATTGCTCTCTTACTGCAACTGGAGAAAATGATTTATACCTCCTTGGCAATTGATTAAAAATAGATATAACTTTCTCTGCTTTAAAAAGTTATTTTTTGTGGTCTTTTGTAGGATTATGACTTGTGATTCAAAGTACTCAGCCTGCATTAAATAGGATAAAGCTTGTCATTTTCTCTTTTCTGCCTTCGTCTTCAACTGTCACATCTTCATGGAGACGAAACCGGCATGTAGCTTGAGATGATCTCTTTTCCCATTTCCTTACCTATGATTTCCTTCAAGAGATCTTCATGATTAAAATCACAGGAATTAGGGAATGTAATTACTTATTCCATTATTTAATGTATTAATTAAGGGAAAGTATGGATTGCATTCTTGGTGTTTGGTGCCGGGCTGGAAGCCAAAGATAGATGAATGTGACCATCCTGCTGTGGGAGATTAAACAAATTAACTGCAATACGACTTTCTACCTGTAACAGTTGAAGGATCTGAAGTGGGATAACCCAAAGCTGGAAATGATTAAATTGAAGGAGAAAGAGAGGAAGGAAAGATTGGTGCTTTTCACCTTATTTTAAAATATACATATGACTTTTTCCACAAGTGGTGGGAACAGTGGAGAGTATTCCCGGAAGCAAATGGAGCTTAAACCAATTTAAAACTACGGGCAGATTATGAGAATAATCATCTTTGTGTTCATTTTTTGAATGTGGACTTGAGTTTCTTCTTCCCAGAGCCTTCTAGAAATGTTCCAACTGTGGCCCATGGAACTTCCAGTCCACACAGTGCCACGGCTGCAGTTTCCAGGAACTCAGTCCCAGGTGTATTGTATTGGTTTCCAGGGGCTGATAAGGAAGAGGGTACCATGAGAGAAATGTATTGTCTCTCAGTTCGAGAGCCTGAGAGTCTAAATTCAAGGTGTCAGCAGGTCTGTGCTTCCTCTGAAGTTCCTTAGGAGGGTTTTATCCAACCTCTCTTCTAGTTTCTAATAGTCCCTTGGTTTTTAGCAGCATAACCTCATTTTTCGCATGGTATTCTCCCTGGGTATCTATGTCCATGTTTCCTCTTTTTGTAAGTCATATTGTTATGGGCCCACTCTTTTCCAGGGTGGCCTCATCTTAATGTAACTAATTAAATCACCAAAGCCCTATTTCTAAGTAGATGGAATTCTGAGATACTAAGGGTTAGGTCCTCTGCATATGAAACTTGAAGGGACATAGTTCAGCCCACCGTGTCTCCTAAATCACAATGTGGGAAGAGAAGCGAGTGCGCAGACTTAGCCCAGGAACATCTATTTCTAAGAAAGCTGACCAGATTAAAGCTATGCCAACTACTTCGGTAGATAATGGCTTTTCTTACGTACAGAAAGGAGGAGGTGTGCTTTTCCTTAACATGCTCTGTATTAAAACACTGGTGAGAGATGACAATTTGCCCATATTTAAAATATGGTTACTTGAGAACAGCGGCAATACTATTTACCTATTCCACGCTCTATAGTACTTATTTCAAGATGGAAATATGCTAACTATTAATAGATAGCAAATAATAAAATATATATAGGTTATATTTGTAAAACTCCTACGAGCAGTCTCTGCTGTTCACCTGTATGTTATCTCCAGTACCTCAGATGGCTTCATGTGCAAATCATTAATAAATATCTGCAAGAGCTAGGGATATAGCTCAGCAGTGCTGCACCTGCCTTGCAAGCACAAGGTCCTGAGTTCAATCCCCAGTACCAAAAATTAGAAAATTACTTAATAAATATCTGTTGAATGAATTAGTAAAATATATGTACTGCTCAAGATGTAATTGCTAATATATATTAATGTTAACATTTATATAATGATTAATTTATGGCTTGAACCAATTATTTTCCATGTTTGGCTCCTCAAGTATATAAAGTGTGTAATCTTATAGTCACATGATCCATAAATTTCCTTACCAGAAATCTGATGGACATATGGACCTAATCAGAAAATCACAAGTAGCATTATTGGAAAGTACTTGTAATTATGAATCTTTATTGAAATACTATGCTTGCAAAATGATTTCTAGGACATACCTGCTTTAAAATACATAGCTGAAAAATATAAATTTTTTCATGGCTTTGCCTACTTCAAGTGACTCGTTCCCATTTTATAAAAATCATCCATCTTATTTTACAGAAAGATTATCTGTATATAATGTAAGATTATTTCCACATTTTCAGGTTTGATGACTATGTCAATAAACAGTCAGTGTTTCTTCTTTGGATTGTTTCCTTTCTGTTTTGTTTTGCCTTTGAGACAGGGTCTTGCTATGTTGTTCAGGCTGGCCTTGAACTTACTATGTAGCCCCAGTTGACAGTGAACTTGCAGAGATAGTATTGCCACAGCCTCGTGAAAGCTGCTGGGATTACAGGCGTGCACCACCATGCCTAGTTCTCTGGGCACTTTTTAGACTAGTACTTTTTGGCTGGTATTATTTAGTGACAGGGCATTTCATTAAATATAGATCCTTGATGGTCATAAAAAATAGTGTGGAATTTGCTTTCAAGGATGTGTTAATGGGTGAACTTTTACCTTATCTTTTTCTGTTTGTGCTTATAGTTGTATCTGAATTCTTTTTGAAACAGCTTTTTAATTTTAGGATTATTTTGGATGTACAGAAAAGTTGCAAAAATGGTACAGAGAGTTCTTTTATACCCCTTACCCAGCTTCTCCTAACTTTAACACATATATAATAATGGTACTTTTGTTAAAAGTATCTAATTCTTTTTAAAATTTATCAATTCTTTTTTTCCTCAACTTTTAGGGTCCCAAAGCAAAAAAGGTATGTAGAAATTATTCTTCTCAAAATAGTTTTATGAATACATTATATGAACAGAATTCTAAATAATTTTCTAGTTTGTAGTATATAGAGTTTATTAAATTTACTTTTTAGCTATTAATGCTACTTAAATCATAGGCTAATCCTTTACAGCTACAGAAATATTTCAAACTTGACATATTTCCAGTTACTCAAAAACACTTAAATATAGTCATTGATTTTTACCTGTATATTTTAGGCTTTTTGTTATTTCTGCTATAGAAAGTCTTGGATTAGGAACTCCTTTCAGTTATTCCAGATAAAAAAATTTGCCTAGATAACCTGCTATGACTTAAAAAGTGAACCCTAAGTTAATATGACTTTATTTATTTATTTGGGGGGGGTACCGGGGATTGAACTCAGGACCTTACGCTTGCAAGGCAAGTGCTGGAACCACTGGGCTAAATCCCTGGCCCAATATGACTTTAAAAGGGTTAGCATATACCTGTTTTTTGTTTTTTTTTTTCTGTACTGTATAAAACTTCGAGTTCAATGAAATGTGTACTTGTTCTCTATGTCTGAAATGCTCTTTTCTCTTCTTCACTTTGTAGAAGTATATTTTAAGGTAGAGTTTATAATCTCTTGCCTAGTGGGCCAGATTGAGCTAACATATTTTGTTTGATCTGAAAAGTTCTTTCCTTCTTTACAAAAATCAGTTGCAGACTGTTTTCTTCCAACAGTCTGATTTTCATCTATTCCTGAAATACTAGAATTCTAACAACATTTTTGCAATCCTATAAGGCAACAATTGGCTGGGCTCATTGCAGCTACTCCTTTTAGGCGTAGAAAAAGTCTTCTGTTATTCAGGGTTCTGACCATGACCAAACCCCGTACTTTTTTACCTACCTGGTCCAATCAGGTATCGGGTTTGGAATGAGTGCTTTAAGACATATCTCAAAGGCCATTTCTTTGTAAAATTGTCCTCCACCGTCTCTTGTAAAATCAGTCAGCTCCTCTATCCCTAAGCTCTACATCTATGAAGTCAACCAGCCGTGGATTAAAAATTCTTTTTTTAAAAAATTATAACTATACACAGCATAATATATTATATATGTCAAAAGCTAGAAGAAAGGGCACTGAATATTTTCACCATGAAGAAATAATAAATGTTTGGGAAGAGACTGAGTCTTCACCGACGAAACATGTACAAGCTTTATTTCTTGCCATTATTCCCCAAGCAATACAGGTTAACAACTATTTGCACAGCATTTACGTTTTACTAAATATTACAAGTAATCTAGTGATGACTTCAAATATATGAGAGGATTTGTGTAGGTTTTATGGAAATGCTGTGCCATTTTACAGAAAGGGCTTAAGTGTCTGTGGATTTTGATATCCCCAGGGGGTCCTAGAACTGGTAAAGTCGTTCTCATGCATTAGTACAATGTACCTCAATGATAACCCTTTCTGTCACTGGACTGTATTGATATCTGCGAGCTCTTTAAGCTCGGTAGCACATTTGTTTTTATACCTTCCGCACAGTGCCTGGCACATAGTAGAAATTCAGTCAGTGTTTGTTGAATGAATATATGAACCTCCACTTAATGTTCCAGATACTTAAAAACACGTGGCTTCTGGGCTAGGGATTTAGTTAAATGGTGCTGCCACCTGCCTTGCAAGTGCAAGGACCCAAATTCAATTCTGTGGATTCAAAAAAAAGAAGAAATGCTTACATAAATGTGTATTTCAGTGTTTATACAATTAAATATTTGTTCAAGGAACAGTGTTATATGCCATCTATGTTTGCTTTTTCAGTCACTTGTGCCCACTAGCACCCTGATACTCTTAGAGGTTGTGAATAGAACCGAACAGAATTTATGAAGGTTCTGGAAACATTCTTAAGGGAGGAACATTCTAGAGGGTCCTGTGTGTCATTAATTGGTTTATGTGGGCATTCATTTATGTATGTACGTATGTATGTATGAATTGAGTTTTTTGAGACAGGGTCTCACTCTAATTCAGGCTAGCCTTTAACTCATTCTGTAGCCCAGGTTGGCCTCAGACAGCAATCCTCCTGCCTCAGCCTCCTAAGTCCTGAGATTCTCGCCATGTACTACCAAGCAAACAATAGTTCATAGCCAAGTAGGCTGTGGTGGAGTATTTATATTTCATTCTGGGTGGGATGGGCAGAAAGTTGTAAGCAGAAGGGTGACATGATCTGATTACTTTTTTTTTTTGGCAGAGCAGTACTGAGGATTGAACCTGAGTCTTTACACTGAGCTTCATCCCCAGTCCTTTTCACTTTTAATTTTACTAAGTTGCCCCGGCTGGGCTCAAATTTGCAGTCCTGCCTCAGCCTCCTGGAGTTCTAGAATTATAGGCGTGCACCACCATGGCCGGCTTCATTACATTTTTACATGTGGAAAATTCACTTAGGAGAGCAGGAGTGAAAGGAAGACGTGGGTCAGTCTGGGTCGTGGGCGTGGTGGGCTGGCGCACGCCTGTAATCCCAGCACTTGGGAGGCTGAGACGGGAAGATCCTCCGGAGTTCAAGGCCAGCCTGGGGGACATATCTAGACCCTGTCTCAAAAAATCCAATAAAGGAAAAAAAAAATTCCGGGTCAAAAGGCTTCAAACTGAAGTAAATCTTCAAACCTACCTTTTACTGAAAGCACTGTTAGGTGTACAGGGAGATATTTTAAGGATATAAAGAGACATAATTTTATGGAAATTGATCATCGACTTCCATATTTACCAACTCCTGAGAAAATATAATATCCCAGTGTCCTGCATATCTGCTATTGCATCTTCCTCTTTCACAGTCACCTTCCCACTTAAAAAACAAAAATAACTTAGCCACTCCAAATCTTGTTTTTGTGTTTCTGGCACTGGGAATGAACCCAGAGCCTTGTATTTGCCAGGCAAGTGCTATACCACTACTGGCCATGTCCCCAGCCATTTAGTTTTAGTTTGAGAGTCTCTCTAATTGCCCAGTTTTACTTCGAACTTACTATCCTCCTGCCTCAGCCTCCAGAGTAGCTGGACTACAAGGTTGAGCCACCCACCTAGCTGCACACAGGTTTTTTGTTTTTGTTTTGTCCCTGTTAAACCTCACTGTGCATTGTCGCTCTGGTGTCTGTGGTACAAGATCAACAGACAATTGAAGACACTGGTGTCGGCAGAGCTTTCCTGAATCAAAGCCCCAGCCACTGAGTTATAGCCCCAGCCCTAAAGTTCATTTTTTAAAAAGCAATATATAGGGAGGTCGAATCAACTCACGCCTGCCTCACACTCAAATAAGACAGCGTGGGACAAAGACACACATGTGCCCATGTGTCTGTACTGAAGACAGTCATAGAGAGTGAATCCACTGTGGCCAGTCACTGAAGTCTGAAGACTGAGCTTCGTCGAGTAGGTAAATACTAGGCATTTTTTAATGCTTTGAGATAAATATGAAGCTTTAAACTTTGGATTAAAGTGGTAAGAAGAAGATCAAAGCTAGCATTTTGATCTTTCCCTTTTAGATCAAAATTATCATCGTAAAAACATTTAAATGGTGATGAGATAGTAAGAAATTATCAGGAAAAAAACTTGAGTGAAGACAGGAACCAAAGAAATAGATGTGCTGGAACTGTTTTCATCTGTGTTTTGCTTCCCTGTTTTTATCAAGAGTATATTTGCAAAACTGGGTAGAGCTTAAACTTTGGTCCTAATAGGAACAATGGAGGGCCAGGGATGTAGCTCAGTGGCACTGTGCCTGCCTTGCAAGTACAAGGTCCTGAGTGTGATCCCTGGTACAAAAAAAAAAAAAAAAGGTTGACAGCAACAATGGAAGCCAAAGACAGTGGAATGTATTCAATGCACTTCAAGAAAGTAATTGCTACCTTGGAATTCCTAACCAGCTAAGGTATTTTCAAAAATAAAGTTGAGGGCCGGGATTTAGCTCTGTCTAGCCTCCGCCTCTGCCTTGCAAGCCCAAGGTCCTGAGTTTGATCCCTGGTACCAAAAATAAATAAATAAATATAAAATAAAGTTGAAAGCTGGTCATGGTGGCTCATGCCTGTAATCCAAGCACTCAGGAGGCTGAGGCGGGAGGAGCACCATGAGTTTGAGGTCAACTTGAGCCACAAAGTAAGAATGATGCCAGCTGGCACTACATAGCAAGATCCTACCTTTAAAAAAAATCCCAAAACAATACAATAAAGCTGAAATAATAACACTGTATCACAAGGACAGAATAGCATGCTTGAGAATGATTAAAATGTCAAATTTTATGTTATATATACTTTGCCACAAAGCAAAGTCATAACTATATACATTTATGTAAAGCTGTTTGTTTGTTTGTTTTGCAATATTAGCAGTTGAACCTAGGACTTCTGCACTGAGCAACATCCCTGGCTTTTTTTTATTTTTTATTTTGAGACAGGTTCTCATAAAGTCACTAAACTTCCTAGTCTGTTCTTAAACTTGCGATCCACCTGCCTCAGCTTCCCAGAGTGCTTGGATTGCATTAATCATGCACACATTATCATGCCTTGCTAAGTCTGATGATGAATATTTTTAGTATGCTTGTTGGTCATTTGTATTTATTCTTTTGAAAAATGACTTTTCAGAACATTTGTCCAGTTTTAAGTTAGATTTTGAACATGTTCATCTCTCAACTATATTTTTATTTTACCTATTGAATTTTTCAGCTTCAGGGTTTCTGGTTGTTTGCTTGGTTTGGGTTTTTTGGTTATTTTTTATAAATCTGTGTCTCAGTTGAATTTTCATTCAGATCATAAATTACTGTCCTGATATTGTCTGTCTTACAGTTTATTTTATCTTGCTGAGTCTCCATAAGATCATTATTTTGAACTCTTTGGGGAGCACATCATAGATTTAATTTTATTCTTTTTGTTTTTCTTTGCTTCGTTTTTTCTTTTATTTCTCATAGGTTTAGTTGGAATCTGTTATTGGAGGATTACTGTGTTAGTTTGGAAGTGTTACATTTCCCTGCTCCTTTATGTTTTACACTGGTATCTGCACATCTGGTAGAATGCTCACCTCTTCTGATTGTGTGAGGCAGCTATTGTAGGAAAAATCATGTTCCTATATGGGGGTGGCTCCCAGGGGGTTGTTGGGTGGAGTGACTTGGCATTGCTGCTGGTGGGTACACAAGTGTAGTCTCCATGCGAGTCCTTCAGCTAGAACAACACAGGCGTGCAAGTGTGTGCAAGTGTGTGCACGTGCCCTGGTGGTCTTGACTGCAGATGTCTTGCTGGAGTTGGGGGGTCTAGGTCCTCAGGCTCTGGGGGGCACACGCCAGGCTGATAGCTCCGCTAGTCACGTGGCTTTACAAAGGCAGGAGGCTGCTGTGAGTCTGGTCTTCGGGCTCTGGGGGTTCATGTCGAGCACCCAGTGGCTCTGCCAGTCTCAGGAAATCTATGATAACTCAATACATGATTTTTGACGTATGACATGGAGGAGGAGTTCAAAAAACTGAATGATGTTGCTATAACAAACCTATTCCCATTGACTTTTCAATATAAAGATTTCTCAGTCCTCATACTTTTAAAAATGAAAAATTAAAACAATCTGAATCTGTTTCATTAATAACAGCTAAAACTTACACACAGATAATGAGCTAACCGCAGAAAAGAAAAAGCCCAACTGATTTCATCAAGACATGTATATCCAGGAAAAAATTACTCTCCTGTTTAATATTCAATTAGAATAATTTATATCATATTGCTTTGTTCGTATTGTATATTAAAAATTATATAAAATTAAGCCAATCCAGGGAAAATTTGAATACTTAGAAAAGAGGGAAATGAATGCTTTAAGTTCTCATACATATTCTTGTAGCAAATAAACATGAAAGGAAGCTTAACAAAAGTTTTTCAAGTATATTATATTAGGGTTATATTTTGTTGTTATCTTTTGTTTTGTTGTTGTTGTTGGGGGGGTTCAGTACCAGGGTTCAAACTCAGGACCTTGTGCTTGCCAGGCAGGTACAGTGGCACTAGCTAAATCCCTGACCGTCAGGGTTATATCTTTTGAGAAAATTAGAATGGAAATATGACTTCAAAGAGAAAAATAATTATATTTTTATTAAAGAAGAGCTTGTCATATTTTTTAAATCGGTGATATCGTTTATTGTTATGGTATGTAGTTTCCATAGGGTTTATTTTACATAGTGATGGATTTAATTAATAGTGCCGGAAAAGTTTTCATTTATAGATTCTATACTTAAAAGTGTATTTTCAGCTCTTTAACCTTGTGATGGAAAGTTTTTAATGCCAAGTTAAACTGAGTAAAGAAGTACATAACTCTAAAAAATTTCTAGGGAGTATGTGAATAAGTACTACAATTTTAAAAGTTATGGATTAGGTACAGCTGAGCAGGAGAAGCCAGCAAAGGAAGTCTGAAAAGGAAGGAACTGTGTTGAGAGCGGTAACGTAAAGGCTTAATAAAGAATGTATATCACGTGTGCAAGATCCTGAGTTAGATTCCTAATAACAAATAACCACAACAAAAATCATGGCCACCTTAAAATGACTTGACAAGTTTTAATTGAGCAAGAGAAATTATCTACCAGCATTTTCCACAAATTCTATTTAAATTTCCCATCGATTCCTCTCTTAAATGTGCTTGTTCTAGGGCTCCATTTTCTTTTCAGACTCTCCTCTGAGTCCTTCCTCTTCTTCGGGTTTAATTGTTATTAATGTTAGCTTGTAAATCTCTGCTTTCCACTGCCAAGATTCAGTTTATTAACTCTTGTTAACAGGGGCCAAAATGGTATCCTCTTTATAATTATATCTCCCCCATTCAAGGTTAGTTTTCAAAAATCATATTTTAGGGCCAGGGATTTAGCTCAGTGGTTCCAGCACCTGCCTCACAAATGCGCAAGGGCCCTAGTTCAATCACTGATACAAAAAAATCACATCTTAGTAGCTACAGCCCTTCTCAAAAACTTAGGAGTTTTTCATTTTTCTTAGAACAACGTCCAGACTTTTCAGCATAGGTTTGATCCTTCTTTCCTCTTCTCATTTCCTTCTTCCTCTCTTCCTGGAGTCTTACAGCGCCCACTGAATTTGTTGGCTATCCAGCTCTTTCTTGCAGCTTTTCTCTGTCTTTTCTTGGAGCATCTCCCTTGAGCATGAATTTAAATATCACTTTCTCTACAAACATTTTACTTGAACTGCGTTATTAAAAACAATCCTCCCACCCAGGAGGCTGAGGCAGGAGGATCACTTCGAGTTTGAGGCCAGCCTGGGCTACATAGCAAGTTCAAGGCCAGTGTGAACTACATAGAGAGACCTCCTCTCAAAAGCAAACAAAAAACAATCCTTTCTCATACTTGCAAAATAATTCTCTGTATACCTGCTAATCATAAAAATACATTTTTTAAACAGATGAACGGCTTTAGCACTGTTTTTACATATATTTTACTTTATTCCTTATAAGAAGATGAGGTTTTTCTTTTTACAGACGTGGAAACTTGGCATGAAAGAATTATTTAAATTGCATTAGGGCTGGGGATTTAGCTCAGTGGTTCAACCAGCAGCCTCACAAGCGCAAGGTCCTGAGTTCGATTACCGGTACCAAAAAAAATCAATAAATTGCATATATTTGTCATTGTTGTCTTAGTCACTTTCTCATTGCTGAGACAAAATATCTGACACCCACAATTTAAAGGAGAGGTTTATTTTGGTTCGGGGTTTCAGCCCGTAGTCACCTGCCTTCAAGAAAGAGCCGGCATGGTGGAAGAAAGCTGCTCAACCCAGAGCAGCCAGGAAGCAGGGGAGGAAGGGAGGGAGCTGAGACCAAAAACACGGCCTCCCAGGTCGCCCCCTAGTGACCACTTCCCGTCAGCACACTGGGCTAGGAGCTGAGCCCTGTACAACCCCTCCCCGCCCTCACCCCCTAACTTCGGATCACAGGAGACTTCTAGGGGGCATTTGCGATCTAAACCCATAACAACTGTCATCCCTGAATTTGCATAGTTTATGTGCTTGCTTTTGTTTGTTTGCTGCACTGAGTCAGTGCCTTAATAGGCAGTCCTATCTGTTGAATGAGTGCGTGAAAGATACGTTTCATGAAAGCAAAACTTGTTCCTTATTACTAGTTAAGGAAACGTATTTTTAAATAACGTGGGTGCACGCTAGGAGCCTGTTTAAGCCTTGCGGTCTTTGTTCAGTCTGGCAGTAAGAAAAAGAAAATCACTAAAGCGGAACAACTGAAGCAGCTCCAAGAGGAAGAGGAGAAACGACTGCGGGAGGCAGGTACGAAACGACGGTGGCTCTGTTCTCGCACACAAGTGATGCTAGCAGTCGCTCAGGACTTCTGTAATCCAGTCACGGTTTTTCAAAATTCCTCACATTGTCTGATTTAAATCTGCTTTCTAATGAACGCCTATCGGCGAGTGGACACTGACAGATTTATTAGTAGAGTACACGCCAACCGCGTTGCGTTCGTCTTGAGGTAGTGTTGCCGCACAAAATTAGGAGCCCAGTTCAATTTGCATTTCAAATCAACATTGGCTAATTGGGGGCCATTTTCCCAAAGCAATATCTGGGACATGCTTACACTCTTTGAAAAGTACATTGTTTATGCGAAATTCAGTTTGAGCCCATCCTCTCGACTTTAGTTTGCTAGTTCTGGCAACCTATCTTGACATATTTTTATTTACTGATGAAGTTAGGGACACTGGCGCTGACTGTGCAAGATGAATTCTGAAGCTGGACTTCATTCGATATGGTACACACAGCTCGCAAGAGCAGAGAGCATCCTAAATTCTTGCAATTGCGATATTTTTGCCTGATTTTCCCTCTCTCTCTTTCTCTCTCTTTTGAGACAGTATCTCGCTGTGTAGTTCAGACTGCCTTTGAACTCACTATGTAGCCCAGGCTGGCCTTGAGCTCCTGGCAGTCCTGTGCCTCAGCCTCCAGTGGGCCAGGATCACAGGTATGTGCCACCACACCCAGGTTTCGCCTAATTAAATGCCAATTTACTGGCATGGTGGCACATGTCTGTAATCCCTGCACTTGGGAGGCTGAAGCAGGAGGATTGCCTCAATCGCCTGGGCTACAGAATGATTTCAAGGCAAGCCTAGACTACACAGCAACACCCTATCTCAAAAAACAGAACCCCCAAAAAAGTCAATTTCCTTTTTTTTTAATGAAACACGCACTGATGAACATGTTGGTTAATTAAAGCACCAAAAAGTGATTTTTAAATTCCGAATATCCCTAACAATGTAGCTTTTAGCATTTAGAATGTCCATAGATTCATTTTCAGGGTATTAAAAGGTTCCTTGTGTATTTTTAAGCATATAATCTTACAAATCCCTTTTATTCTCTTTTGGGGGGGATGGATTACAAATCCTTTTTTTTTTTTCTTTTTTTTTTTTAGCTGCCACATGGTAAGAATTCAATCTCGGAACCTATATCTTTTTTTTTTAATGTTATAAAGAAGAGGTTTACTTTGTTCGTGGTTCTGGTTCAAGGCCGAGGTGCTTTGTGCGGTGCTGGCCTATATCTTGAGGAATGACTTCCACTGGGGCAAACTTCTATTCCTCAGCATGTGTTTCGTATTTCATTTTTACTAGAGCGAGAGGAAGTTGGGATGATCCCTTCCGATGGTGTCAGTGTCACAGTGGTAGACATCTGAAGACTGCATCTCCCCTTCACTCCCCACAACGGGGCTGCCATATTTTATGGACTGAAATCGCAATTGGATTGTTATAAACTTTTGGAGACGAAATATGTCGACGTGGACCCATTTCTTGGCCAGAAAGCCAGAACGCTTGAGTCATGTTATTCTTTTCTAGCGCTTTTTGATTTCTATCACAAAACCAAATTACGGTTTCGATAAGATACTCCACCACATCCTGAACAATGCCTAAAGTAATCTTAAGGGCCTAATAATCTAGTGATCTAATCACTGAGCCATTTTTTTAGTTTTATATACGTAGCATCTTACTCATCTTTACTTCTTCCCCTCTTTTTGGTTCTTCAGAGGAAGCCCGTTTGAAATTTGAGAAAGAACTGGAAAGGCTCGAAAAACAGCGGATCGAGAAAGAAAAATGGCAACAACTTGAAAAAAAAGTACATAAACCTGAGTAATGTTCTCACGGGAAACTTAAGAAAACATGGTGTTGTCCACTGTGCACTGTTCTCAGCTCATAACCTCCAGGGGAGTTTGGTCCTATGTGGACTGGTTTGGCTGAATAAAACATCTAACGTTATTACCCTGTCTCACAGATGAGGAGACTGAGCAGAGAGAAAGTTAGCGGCTGGACAGTGGGGAGACCAGGACTGAGCCCTAAACACCCCGGTTCACGTCAGCCTCTGCTCGCCACACTGAAACCCACATGAATCTATTTCGTATGCAAATTTAACAGGCACCAGTGTATTTTTCAAAATACTTCCTTTTTTTTTTTTTTTTTGCTAAATCAGTAGTTCTGAAATATTTTGGTCTCAGGACAAAACTCCACTAAAATGTTTTTTAAAATCTTCCCAAGGAGCTTTTGTTTGTATGGATTACATCTGTCAATATTCAGCGCATTAGAAAGTACAGCAGAGGGCAGGGGATTTTAGCTCAGTGGTTCCACCGCATGCCTCGCAAATGCAAGGACCTGAGTTCAGTCCCTAATACAAAAAAATAAAAATAAAAATAAAGTAAAGAGGATACATCTAAAGACACATGTTAATATACATCAAGCATTGATTTTTTAAAAAGCTTTAGTAATCCTAAGCCAATACATTAACATTTTGAAAGAAAATTATGTATTTTTAGTTAGAGAAATAAATAGAAATAAATGTTTTTTAAAATTTCTTCACCGCCTAACTTTAATAAGACAACTGGGTTCTCCTATTAACTTTAATATCCCAGCTGTTGTAATGTGTTGTTTTGATTGACGCATATGAACAAGAAATCTTGCTTCATTCAGCTTTGCATTTGGAAAAAGGAGGGATGTTGCGATAGCCTTTCAGATATTTGTGGATGTCCATGGATTCTACTCCAAACTCAAGCGGTAGTTTCCTTTCTTCTTCGTTTTCCTTTGAGAGGAGATCTCACTGTGCTGCTCCTGCTGGGCCCCTTCCTCAGCCTCCAAGGAGCTGGGACCTCAGGCAAATGCCACAATGCCCAGATTAACAAATGGTACTTCCTTAACGGGGATCAGAACCTGTATCGATGACCTGTTTAAATTCTGTTGTATTAAACATTGCTCCGTGTTAACCCTCTGACTAGATTTTATTTTCATGCATGATTGCACAATTGTATACATTGCTTGCTTGGAAAATTTTTCTTCACTGAATGATTTACTTCTAAATGCTGATGTATTTGATTGTTCATTGTAGAAAAAAAAAATCACAGACATTAACCTCTCCAGTCAAATCAGAAGTCTTTAAGGATTGAGAAATCATGAAACTCATAATGATAGATACAAGGATTGTTAAAATCCTGAATTTTTACTTGAAGGTTGCATTTTACTTTTTGGTTGTTGTTGTTTTGAAGGAGGCCCTTTGTATTTCAATCTCCCCCCCCCTTATTTTTTTGGTACTGAGAATCAAACTCTGGACCTTGCACTTGCGAGACAGGCAGCAGCACCACTGAGCTAAACCCCTGGACCCAAATTAGAGGCCAGCCTAGGCAATTTAGCAAGACCTTGTCTCTCACTCTCTCTTTTTCTTTTTCTTTTCTTTTCTTTTTTTTTTTTTTTTTTTTTTTTTTTTTTTTTTTTTTTTTT